TTCGCAACTATTTTCGCATTGAAAACGTGGTTGCTGTACGACTTGCTAAGAGCCTGACTAAGTTGCCTGCTGCACCCTATGCAGACAGCTGTACACTAGTGCACTATGATAACGATGTGACCCCTGGCTTTCATTATTATGAAGCTGATGGCACTGCCTTGAACATCTACGACATCACAGGATCTACACATTCACGCATCATCCAGTGTCTTAAATCCAAGAAGCCGCCTGCTGGATTCGACCGAGACCTCACTAAGTTTGAGGAACTCGCTGATGGTCCACCACCAAGCGAGCCACCTCCAGCAGCTGCTCCTGAGCAGCCTCCTGCGGAGAATGATGGTCGGCTCCCGACCATCATAGAGGAAACAGAAGAGGATCTGGATGTCTTTGTCTTGAAGTCGTGGTATGCTGAACTGATGGATGACAGAACACTCCTTGAAGCTGACACAGAAGAAGTCATGCATACAGTTCCGACATACATGACAGACTCACAGTGCGTGTTGGTCTCTACGACCTGTGAAGATGTGCAAGGCCACTTGCCGGTGCGGGGTCACCCGCCAGGATACGACATGGACACTTCTTACTACGTTCCTTTGTGCTCCACGGATCCGGACAGCCAATATGATCTGGATTCCGACGAGCACGGGAAGTACATCGAGCTTTGCTTCGCAGCAGACATGTCCAAAGTCGTCCTGTCCGAGCAGCAACGCCGATTGTTGGATGACAGCAGCGTCACAACTATGCGAGTATATGTTAGTGCTGCCTCCAAACGTGCCGCGGTCGTCAAGGAAGACGATCTACTCACGAAGGCCGACATTCAAGCGAATCCGGTCAAAGTTTCCAAAGCCCTTTACACATAATTGAAGACTTGGCTTGACAACAAATGCTTCCAGATGACTGACTTGAGCAAAGCGTCGAACATCATGACGTCACGCTACGTATACAAATGGAAGTTTGTCAAGAACGAGAAGGGCGAAATGGAACGGACGATCAGGTTACGCTTGGTACACCGTGGCTTCATGGACATTGAAGCCTTTGATGTCGAAACCTTCTCTGACACGGCAAGGAGGTCAAACCAGAGACTGCTCGCAAGTTCTGCTGCATGCAACAAAGCTTGGATCATCGCTCCCCTGGACATCAACATGGCTTTCTTGAAGGGACTGACCTATAGCGAGCTCGCCGCGGCAACGGGCGAGAAAGAGCGTGTGGTGTGCTTCACACTACCTCCTGGGTCAGCAGCTGTCCTTCGCACATTGCCAGGCTTTGAGTCATATGACGAATCAAAGCATTGTCCTCGGTGCCTGAAGCCGGGGACTGGCACGAAGGATGCTCCCAGGGCATTCTCGTTGAAGCTCAGGTCCATCACTAGGAGCTTTGGACTACAGCCTACTTCATACGATGAAGAGTTCGAGATGAGTTCAAACCTCTTGACAGCCAAACACGTTGATGACATCAATATGACTGGGAAGGAAGATTCTATTGACAAGTACGTCAAATGTGTTGAAGATACGTTTGGACAGTGCAAACTGAACAAGCACACATACACAAACTGTGCCGTTCGGTACAACAAGACCGATGATGGGAGCGTCACTCTTGAGCAGGACGAATACATCAAACAACTTCGTCCTATCACACATCCAGAACTCACAGGCGCTGATCCTGAGAGCAAAGCGACAAAGACGATTTATGATATGTTCGTCAGTCTTCGTGGCGCTCTAGCCTATGCGTTGATCACGTAGGTATGGCTGATGGTCTATGTTGTCTCACTGCAACGTATCCAGGAACCGACAAACATCCAGGTACGACGACTGAACGCGGTTACCAGGAAATTGCAGGCAGGTCCGAAGAAGATCGTGTATCAAGCTATGACTCCAACAGGAGAGGTCGACCTGCATAGCGATTCTGGCTATCGTCGTCTCAACGGAGATGAAGACGACGAAGTCAAAGGCTACGGTATCCGCGGGGCTAACCTGCTGAGGCGTGGCCACACGCAAGCGGGGAAACCCGTCGTGCACCTGGTGGACGCATACTGCAAGTCTCATCGACTGCAGGTGCGTTCGAGCTACTCTGCGGAAACACTGGCAGCAGCCCACAACTTGGAAGACTGCTACCCGACCATTGTAACGCTACACGAGCTACACTCGGGACCATTGACCCCCACACAGTTGAAGAACATATTGGAACTGGGTGGTCTATGTATCAAAGTCACTCTGACTATTGATGCCGAGTCTGTCTTCAAGTCTTTGTCTAGCAAAGATCTGAAGAAGCCCACAGAATGCACTCTGCTTGGGCACATTAGCTGGATCCGCCAGATGATGGAGCGCGGAATCGTTGAAAGCGTCCAATGGTGTGACACGCGGGATATGACTGCCGATGGTCATACCAAAGGTAGTATTGACCGCGCGTTGCTCCTACAGGTAATGGCCGGTCAGCAATCCTTCAAGCACGAGCTGAAGAAACATACTCCGTATAGGGCGGGCAGGTCGTCTCAGGACGGCCCTGCCTCCCGAGCTGGCGGGGAAACCCGCATGCAGGTGCGCTCTAGTAGCGAGGAAACTCGCCGGTAGCGAGGCTACTCGCGCGCCCTTGCCTTGTAGGCAGCCGCTGTTGCCTAGCACTGTTTTTCCGCGTAATGAAGAAATGCGGTGCTTGCTCGTCTCCTCCCCCTCCAACTTTAAACGGAGAGGGTTAAAGGCGAGATGTATATCGAGCATGCACCGCTGCCGTGCCTGGCTCAAGCCGGGCCCGGCCGAACATGTGATTGTGCCTCATTGAGGCGCACTACTTGCATCTGAGATCGGAAAAGACCTTTCTATTGACGATGCCCCTTCTATCCTTTACTCCAGATCCCATGCTTCATCTTGCTCTCTTGCTCATGCGATATGAGACAAAGCCTGGGATATGGGAGCGCCTAAGGCGGAACATATATCTTGGCTTACCAGTGCGTTTTCGACTTCAGAGGCCCCAGTGGCCCCATAAGCCCCCCAAAGGCCTCCAAGAGACCCCAAGAGGCTCCAGATGGCTTTCAAGACGCCTCCAGGACGCCCTCCGCAGGAGACTCCCTAGAGACATCCAGGAAGGCGGACGAGGAGCAGAGCGGGAGGAGATGGATGGAGGAGGACGAGGAGGAGGAGGAGGAGGAGAACAAGGAGGAGAAAAAGGAGAAGGAGGGGAGGGAAGTCCAATGAGGAAGGGAGTGCGGAGGAGGTGGCTCCTCCCGTCTCCTTCATCCAATTCATCACAAGCTCTCTCTCCTCCGCCCTCTTCCCCGCTCCGTCCTCTTCCACCCTCCCTCCTCATCTCTTCTTCTCTCCTTCCTCCCTCCCCCTCCCGTTCCTGCATCCAGCCTCTGCCGCCCCGCTGCCGCTTTCCAAACTCGAGAAGAGGTCCCAGATTGAAAACAAGTATTCCCACACATCCCGTATGTTTGCAAGTTCAGCACCCGCTCCGGCAGGCGAAAGTACGTAAAGAGGCCGCAGAACAGCAGACGCACTGGACTGTCCAGATAACGGGGGAGGTAGCGATGAAGAGCCCATTGGGGGAGGAAGCACATCACGGAACACGGCGCGAGTGATTGCCGCATGCGTTGCCGATACCTCGTCTAGAATTTGAGCGCGCGCGACACGCGTGCAATGTTTTTAGTATAGCTGCTTATGTTTATACATACACACATAACTGCATATATAGACAGCTGCCTGTGGCAAGTCATGCCGCCGTGTCAGCCCAGCAGTGTTGAGGCGATATTGCAGGCCTCCTGGGCCGTCTTCAGCTGACGGAGGATTGGAATGTAAGAATCCAACAACCAATGAAACAAAGCTATGAATAATAATGTACTTTATTTCTTCGGGCCCTCCAGAGTCTTCTCTCGGAGCCCTCTTGAGCCATCATGGGGGCCTTTGTGAGCTCTTGGGCCATCATGGCTTATCTTGGACCCTCTTGGAGCCATCTTTGACCAGCTGGGAGGTTTTGTCGTCCATTTTGTCTGCCTGTGTGGCTGTCCTGGGCCTTCATGGAAGAAGCCTTGGAGAGCTCCAAGATGGCACCGTGGCCGCCCATGGACCCCCAGGAGTAGGAGTGGTGCTCGCAGGCGGGTGCGAGGTGACGGGCCCTCTTGCGGCGATCCCGGGGGCTGCCAGTGCCGTCTTGAGCGAACGGAAGCCCAGACATTTACATCCGAAAATCAGTGGACAAAAACCATGGGAGCACCAGTGGTTGTTGCCTCCTCGGGCCCTCCGCATCGAGCCATTCCGAGGCCATCCTGGGGCCTCATGGGTGATGCTGGGCCCTCCTTGGAGCCAGCTTCGGCCACCTTGGAGCTATTTTGGGCCATCCTGGCGGCCTGGATTGCATTCCTGAGCCGGAGGAGGTGGCTCCTCCCGCCTCCTTCATCCAATTCATCACAAGCACTCTCTCCTCCGCCCTCTTCCCCGCTCCGTCCTCTTCCACCCTCCCTCCTCATCTCTTCGTCTCTCCTCCCTCCCTCCCCCTCCCGTTCCTGCATCCAGCCTCTGCCGCCCCGCTGGATTGCCTTCCTGGGCCGTCTTGGGAGATTCTGGGGGGGTCCCCGGGGGCGCGTCGTGGCCGCCCCAGAGTCCTTCAGGAGGAGGGGCAGCGCGCGCGACGCTCTCCGGCGAGAGAGAGGGTCCACTAGGAGACCGCAGGAGCCATGCCAGGCAGCACGTGGCACGCTTCCACGCCTCCACGTGCCAGGAAGCACGGTGGCGGATAGGTGTAGATGCAAGTATTCATATGCACATGTTCTGTAGATGTATGGGGTACAACCACTCTTTGGCGAGAGAGAGGGTCCATTAGGAGACCACAGAAGCCCTGCCAGGCAGCACGTGGCACTCTTCCACGCCTCAACGTGCCAGGAAGCACGGTGGCGGATCGATGTAGATGCAAGTACAGTGAAAACGTATAGTAAGGACGCGTGGTGAGGACGCAAGACCCTTGGAGGCCGAAGTTAGAGTATTCTGGCCTGCGAAAATTGCCAGGGACGGGCCGCAGAGGCTGAGGCAGGCAAGGACCCAAGGGTACCCTTGAAAAAGTCGTTTGTCCTTACTATGCGCGTTGACTGTATTCATATGCACATATTCTGCAGATGTATGGGGTACAACTGGGGGGGTCAATCTACGCGGTGCAAGTGTGCTACATTGGACATTTTGTTTTACAAGAGTCAGTGTTGATGCGAGAAAGGAGGGGCCTTATCTACGCTCACCGCTGCAGCATGTAGAGGCGGCTATGTTCTTGAGCAGGTCCGGTCCTTGCCAGCTTTTCAGCGGCGGGACAAATTCGTCATCAGCCACCCTTCGTTTAGTAAACCACCACAGTTCGTAAAGGATGCATTCTCCGACTCGAAGCATGTAATGGTCCTGCAAGACGACTTCTGGTTTGGCGTTCCGCTGGTCAGGTCTTTGCAGGTGCCATATGTTGCGCATCGCCAGTTGGATGCTGTGGCCTGGGGGAACACCTCTAGTCTTCAGAAGGTTCAGGCTCGGAACATCACTTTCATGTTCCATGGCAAAGGGTATCGAAATGCAGAAGGAAGAAACCGAGGCATTCTAATGAACATGATCCGGGGGAATTTTAGCAATACGAGCTTGGTGGACTATTCTTTCGAGCGCGACAGGGACCAGGCAAACCAGTTCAGGCGTGTTCGCGAGACGGCACAGATTTATCTGCAGAGCAAGTTCTGTCTCGTTCTGCCTGGGGACACCCACACAACGCGCAGGCTGTACGACGCCATGGCGGCGGGCTGTGTCCCGGTGGTTTACGGGAGCGTCCTCTTGCCATTCCGCGAGTCGGTGCCCTGGACAGAGTTGGTGGTGTTCATAGACTCCTGCAGAGCAGACAGGGTGATAGAGACGCTGCGCGAGCTCCTCCTGCTGGAGGACGTCGCGCAGAGGGGAAAGGCGGCGCAGGAGGCCTAC